TATTCAAATTGATAATACTTTAGTATATTCAAACATAATATACAAGTGAGTTCGTTTATCACTTGTTTTAATCTCTAATATTTCAGGAGCGTTTATTTTAGCACAATTACCAAATATTATGTTTAGATTTTAAAAAAATCATTGGTCATCGAAAGAGATTTTTATTTTTTTGTTAAATTAAATTGAAAAAAAAAGTGAAAACGAATGAAATGATGGAAATATCGAATATGAATTAATTGTTTTATATTTTACATAAAGCATTTTTCTCTTATTTTTATTTAAATAAACGGTTTTATTCGTAGTTAGAAATGTTTGTTTTCATTTTACTATAAATATTCATATGGCAACCATTGATTTTATATTTATATATATATATATAACTTGGTTAAATATGAATTGATTATTAAAAAAATAAATGATGAAAATATCGTTTCTTTATTGATTATTCTAAATAAGACTTTAATGAATGTTTTTTTTTCATTAAAAAAGAAATAAATTATTTCAATTAAAAGAAATGAAATTCTCTGAAGAATAAAACTATGCGAACTTTATAAAATGCTTGACAATATGAAATCATTGCATTCTAAACTAGGTTTGTGCACAATTGTCACATTTGTGATCAGCCAAATTGATCAACGAATGAATTCAAATTTTCTCTGATGACTAAGCATTCCAAACATATGCTTCGTGAGTTTCATATCAGTTCGATGTCCTTGATTGGCCTGTTGCTAAGCCTAGAGTATTATCAAGTCTATGAAGGTCTATCTACCAGAACGAGGAAGGGATGATAGTGCAGCCCTGACTCATCCAAAGAGTACGAAAGAGTAATTAAGAAGGAGAATACCAGATATTAATAGATTGGAAATAGAATAGCTAGATTATTCAATTATCATATTTGTGCTTTAGTTCAGCAACTCACCTCAGATCAACCTATTGGCTGCTCATTGAAATTTGAATGATCGATACAGGATGTAACTCATTGACTCAGATAAGAGTTGTTGATAGCTATTTTTCTCTAAACTCGTGGAAGAAATTCTCTCAAGATAATAAACATCCACGTATTTATGCCAATGGGTAGGTGATCGTGGCGTTACCGTGTCAGAATGCAAATCTATGTTTCGTCGAAAATAACAAGCACAATTCCAAGCAAGCGTTCGCACTTTTTTACAGATATCCAATAAAAAATTTAGCCGGATTTCATCGCATTCTTCGTGTTTCCAATGTTTTCTCGCTGTCAAACCCAACATTCGAAAACTTTCGAAAGAATCAGACGCAATGAGATTTGTCGACCTAATAACACTTCAGATGATGAAAATTGTACATTTATATACCTATCTATTAAGCATCAATTTATATTTTTTATTAAAGAAAAACTATAAACAGACATTATTTTGCTTTTTAGAAAATGTTTGTTTTCTTTTAGCTGTTGATATGCATTACTGGCGAAAAAGAAAAATGTCAACAAATATCGTGTTCATATGATCAAACTTTATGGAAACACTGTTAACATGTTTGGTTCACTTCTTAAGACCGATCAGAACTTATGAATGATCAAGCGACCTCTTTCCTCTCATTTATTGGATAACTTAAACTAATTAATTATCTTTCGCTCTGCTTCGCAGTTATTATATTGATCTTTAGAAACATACAATAAAAATAACTTCTTACATTATATTGTAAATTTTCTTGTTTCAATATTAATTATGGCAAAACAATCTCAAAGTGAAATAGATCAAATGATTCAAAGATCTCAAGTAAGATAACTAAATTCATATTAAAATGAAAATAAAAATCAAATAATTTTAGTGTATACATCGTGATTTAGTTCGTCGTGATATAATTCAAGCAATTCAATCATATCAATGTAATTTAGTATTAAAATTAAATCGATATAATCTAAATGAAGGATATTCTAAAGAATATCTTTGTTTATCTGGAACAGTTCTATGTGAATATAAAGAAAATCGATATAACATTCCAATTGAAATAATTCTTAATGAAAATCATCCATATAAATCACCAATAGCTCAAGTTAAACCAACATCAAATATGTTTATTTCTCCAACAAATCAAGATGTTCAATCAGATGGAACAATTACAATAAATTATTTGAAAACATGGCGTCATGTAAATATAATATTAAATTTACAAAAAGAAAGATCTATATGTTTTGTTTTTATTTTATTTAAAGCCAAGTAGTGATTTATCGAATTTAATAAAAGCCATGTCTCAATCTTTTAGTTTATCACCCCCAGTTTATTCAATTTCAAATGCTAATTATTCAACAGCACCATATCCAACAAATAGTCCATCAATGGGAATGCCAATGCCTATGGGAAGAAGTTCACTATATTCATATTCGAATATACATCAAGGAATAGAACGAGAAAATCAAGGAGAAATTTCACAAGATATTTATCATGAATCACTTAAAACAGCTGTTTTAGAAAGAATTCGAAATCGATTTAATGAATTAAATAATATTGAAAAAGCAGAAATTGAATCTTTAAAAAAAACTGAACAATATTTAAATGAGGGAGAAAAAAAACTTGAATTATTAATTAATCAAATTCAACAGAAACAAATTCAAACTAAAGTTTAAATTATTATTTCTTGTTTTTAGTTTATTGATCGCACTTTTTTATTTAGAATTATATAACTAATTTACAAAATAAAATAAATCAAATATCAGAAAAACCTTTATTAAAAAAAGATAATTTAATCGAAGATAATCCTATCATTTTTCCAGCACCTATTTATAAACAGTTTAGTTTTTGTCTTTTTTCTTTTTCATTATTTCGTTTTTTTTTTGTTTCTCAAAGACTTTTTCAAGCTTTTGCTGAAGAACATGCTATTCAAGATTTATTATATTATCTTGCTGATGGACTTCGAAAAAGATCTATTTCTTTGGAAAACTATTTAAAAGTTTGTATTTTTTTTTCTTGTTTTGTTTTTGATTAATTTTTTTGTTTTTTCGATTTTAGCATGTTAGAGAACTTTCACGAAAACAATTTATTTTACGAGCTACTATGATCAAATGTCGACAAGTTGCTGGACTACCTACTAAATAATAATAACAGTTTTATTTATAAAGAAAAAAAAATGTAAAATTGGAGGCTCCGGGTATCGATCCCGGTACCTCTCGCATGCAAAGCGAGCGCTCTACCGTGTGAGCTAAGCCCCCTTGACATAATCCTTCACCTTGATTTGTTCATTTATTTCATTTAACATTTAATGTAAACAATTGAAATAAATATAATATTCAAGCTATTTTTATTCAAACATTTATGTTTTATCTTAACGTTTCATCACATGCGGGGATGCCACCCCGTCAAGCCAGAAAAGCGGAAAGCACAGTGAGAAAAAGCGGAAACAAAAAGTAAAAAAACGGAAAATTGCGGAAAGCTGTTTTCTCTGGGATTTTCACATTCCTGTAGGTTTCAATAACTTTTTGCTTCTCTCCATGATTCTTTGTTATTCGCAAAGCTCCAAAGCACAATAAATGACACATAAAAAAGATGAATATTTTATTAAGCACATCATTTTTTCAATGTAGTTACATTGACTGTTTCAATGGATTTCGGTTTGAAACTATTTTTGAGACAGTAGATGTGTATGCAAAATTCGTGTGACATTGAAGTATTTCAACGACTCTATATATTTGCAGTGAGTGAATCGATTGATATTCTATTGAGAAAATGATTGAATATATGTATCGTTTCCGAAAAAACACTTTCGGTCATAGCGTTGTTTTCCAGAATAGAACACAGAATGAATCATATAGACAACAATAGACTGCTAGCAACAGCTAACAAGAGACCTGCACCGGAGGCAGTTTCGGAATCAACTAAATCTCTAGATAATAACTAATTTTTAACATCAGAATTTTTGTGCGCTTTAAATTTTATTCTTTGATGGGTATTCTACAAACTGATGTACTTTGAAGTCTCAATCAACGATATATCGAGGTCTACGGACACGAAGAGAAAATTGAAGTCGAAAAAATCGAAGTAGAAATTGATTCCGGCTTCCTTTACGTGTTCACAGGTCCCGATGTGACGTTGATTGAGCCTTCAATCTGCATCAGTGTGTAGAAAACTTATTAAAGAACAAAATCTACAAAGTACGAAAATTCTCATTTTATAAAAGGATTATGGGCAAGAAATTTAGTTCACTTCGATACGACTCCGACGTTGATTCTGATGCAAATCTCTACAGCTAACATAATCTATATCGTAATGTCGGATTTTATTTTCTCAAATTTTTGAATAAAAAATAAACTAAAGTTTTTTATATGCAAAAGCGGAAAATTGCGGAACAGCGAAAAAAACAAAGCGGAAGAGGTGGCAACCCTGGATTACACATACAGACGCCTTCATTTCGTTAGTTTCCGTTGCAGTTACCAATGTGTCAGAGATATACTCAGTTCAGCTTGTTCGAAATTGAAAGCAAACCAAAAAGGCATTTTTTTTTGAAACTCCACTAAAAGTAATTAAAATCATGTAACATTTATTTCAATACGCTCATTTAATTCCAAGTGATTCTCATTCATGACATATATTTAAAAGAGATAAGATTGGTTCTATTCGGTTTATGAATCGAGTCAATTCAATCTGTGAAATGTAGATTTGTATTCGTTCTTTTTCATTGAACTGAAATTTATTTTAAGGTTTATGTTGACAAAGTAATTTGTAGGTTCTTCAGCAGAAAAGAGTTTTTTTTTCGAAAAGAAAAACATTTTCTCCGATTTTGTCTATACTCTGATAAAATAAAGTAACTGAAGAATAATCAAAAATGGTTAAAAATTGGATTAAAAGCTGAAAATGAAAATTATTTGAAGAGAATTTAATATTTGTTTATTTAATTTAAACAAAAAAAAAAATGTTCTTTTGATAATCAGTCAATCAATGTCGCTAAAGCGTTTCCATAGATGACATCATTTATAAAAGAACAGATAATGAATTAAAAAAAACCTCGTTTTAAACGAGTTTAATTTAAGATCATCCTCCGGCTGGCTTTCGACGAGAAGATGGACGCCCTGAACATGAATCAGAGGATCCACGATTCGATTGTCCGGTTAATGGATTATAATCACTTGATCGATATTTTGTTCGACTAGAATTTTCATCTGCTGATGTTTTTGCACTTTCGATTTTCTAATAAAATTCAAAAAGAGAAATAAATATAGTCAATATAAGAAAAAATGCTTCACAGCTTTTTTTTGTTGAGCACAACGTAGAGCTTGTTCTTCATAAGCTTTTTGTTGTTTTTGTCGAATACGTTCCATATCATCATATCGATTGAATCGATCATCTATACGAATTAAATCAATTTTTAGATTTTTAGAAAAAAGAAAAAACATTAAATATCTACGTGAATCTTTTTGTTCATTTTTTTCATGTTGAATGTAATTGGAATCAACCATTAGATTTCTATAGCGTCGTCGATTTCTATTCATATAAATAATAACAAGAATAATGATTGATAATAGTAGAAATATGATCCATGGTTGACTCACTACATTTGATTAAAAAGAAAAATTAAGAAAGAAAAAAGAAAAAAAAGGTGTTTACGTATTTGAAATATCGAAAATGATTTTCGAAGAGAAAATTCTCTTTCTGATTGAGATAATTTATCTTCATTTAATTCAAATTCGTCTTCAATTGTAACATCATCCATTACTTATCTAGAATAAGAATTTTATTTTCAATTCGTTTTTACCTTATTAAAAATGAAAAATCTAAAAAAAAGAGCAAGTTTAGTGAAATATGACTGAAAAACTAATCACTATATTTTAAATATATGCTTAAATCAGTATTGCATTATCTATTTTTTTTAACTTATGTTAAAATTTGTGCAAATCAATCTATAAATAAGATCAATATTCTTACTAATCAATATTTCCTATTGGTTTTTGATCGATAGATAAAAAAACGATTGACATAGATTAACTATTGTACTTAATAAAAGTGAAAAAGCAGCTAAAGCATCAATAAAACGTGATCGAACGAATATCCAAAAGAAAAAAAAAGGGCAAAAATAAAAACAAAAGTGAAATAACTAGTAGCAATAAGATTATTTCGATGATAATTAACTACCTAGAGAATCATAAATATTCTTTTAATAAATATAAATTAAGAATTATGATTATCTGCAAGAAGAAATTCTAATGTCTAATCACAGGCCATTTATCGATATGTAGTGAGTAATATTTTCGATTCTCCTACTATAAAAACAACAACTCAATATTTATTCGATTTCATTTTAATGATATGTGAAAATTTTATAATAATAACCCAGATTTAAGATCGATAATATGTTTATGTTTGATTAATTATCGATAACAATTAGATGATAATAAATTTGTTCAAAATTCTTCAAATCTTGATGATAAAGATAGATTTATTTCGATTTTATTCTTTTATGTATTGCGCAATTAATTTATTCCATCGCTTAATCATTATCATAATAAAAATAATGCTAATAAATGAATGAAACGTGGCTTATTATCAACACCAATCACATATTTAATAAAAAAAACAAAAACAAAAGATGTCACGTCAATGCAAGGAAGTTGTCATTCTTTTCATTCATCTATAACAGTGTTTCCAATAGTATGTAATTTTTTTTTCCTTTAAAATATTCTATTTGTTTTATATTGAACGACTGATATTGGCCATTTATACTTTGATGATTTCTAATAGAATTAGGACAAATTTACTCTTTTCAAAATCTACAAGTAATCCTTAGTCTTCATCATGTCTTAAAATGTCCAAATTTTGATAAATCTCGTTTTTCTGCATCTATTCCTTGACGTTCATTATAGATAGCCCTTTAGAAAATTCAATCAAAACACAATTTTTTTAAAATTGTTTATTATTTGATTAACATTATTCAGACGAAATATTTCAATTATATTCATTGATTTTATGTTTCGTAGATATTTTTTTTACTATTTTAAATTAATCAATGCAATAAAATATCACTAATTTTTATATTTAACATAGACATGCTAGACAATTTAGCAACTTCCTATATATTTCAACACAAACTCATAAATGGCTATCTAATACAAACTCATCTACTATTTTTAATATTTTGTCAAATTATTGATATTTTAGTTTTGCTTGTTAGATATATTTTCAATATACAACGTTTATTTCTAACCATACTACTCTAATAATGATAATAAAGATCTTATATCATTTCGGTTCAGACATTTTTCAACAAAAATGTACACATTTATTGATGCAATACAATGAGTTTTTTATTATTATTAAGCACTTAATACTATCACAAATAAATATGACCCCATTTTTAAACATAGTATTTGTAAACGTAATAGATCAATAATTAATAATTTACATATGTATCATATTATATGTTCTATTGAAACAAAGTCTTATTAACCAAAAACATAATCAAACATTTCCACAACCAACATCAATCTATAACTAATACGAGCATTACCAATTATTTTTTTATTTATTTATAAGGTTGTAGGTTTTCTCCTTATCCTAAAGTATGTCCACACATGAGACCTATACTCCTAATGATAACAGCGATAGCTATCAATGTAGTTGGTGCAATAAAAAAAATGTATTTCTATAGTATACCAAAAGTCCGTTTTCAAGGAAAAGGAAATTACGTCTTCTATAGAACTTTGTTTTGGAAAACAAAGACTTTTTTAAAATAAACTTTTAGTTGTTCATCAGACATGAGATTAGAAAATAAAAAGACAAAAAAATGTTTATCCGAAAAAATCAGAAGTGTGCCTAGAAAGCTAGACTCAATTTCTGCGATGCTCGTGCAAAATTGTTGAATAGTCAAATAAATTCAATAGAAAAAAGTTCAATTACAGTTGTAATCACTGTATTCGATATGACATTCATGGTAGTTTTCTACAAAGTTGATCAAGGTAATCTTGATTAGCTCTCACTTGAGAATGATCGGACCCAAATACAGAATGTGCGATTTCTACTGCTTGCAATGCATGTTCGATGGCCTCTTTGTATTGATGAAGTTTTTCAAAGACATGAGCTACATTATTATGCGTAATAGCTTTCGAAGAATGATTCAATGGAAGAGTTTTTTCTTGTATTTCTAGTGCTTTCTCATAGTATGAGAGTGCAGTTGTATTGTCTCCTATTGATCGATACACCTTTCCAATATTGTTATGGATGAAAGATAACGAAACATGATCAGATGGAAGTGTTTTTGTCACGATTTCAAGCGCCTTCTCAAAGTTTGGGATTGCAGCCGAATAATTTCTTGTGGAATAATAAGCTTCACCCAAATTGTTATAAGTTATGATGTAATCAAGATGATCTGGAGGCAGTGCTTTTTGTTGTATTTCGAGAGCCTTTTGAAAAGATTCAAGCGCCTTGAAATGGTCTCCAATTGAATTATGAGTCTCCCCATGTTTATTGTAGGTTAATGCCAGTGTGGAATAATTCAATGGAAGTAAGTTTTGTCGAACTTCAAGAACTTTCTTAAAGAATATGAGTGCTGTCGAGTAATTTCCCATCGATCGATGTACCTCATCAATGTTATTATAGGCAATAGCCAGATCTGAATGATTGGATGGAAGAGATTTTCGTCTGATATCAAGTGTTTTTTCACAATATAACAATGCATTCGAGTAATTTTCTGTCATCAAGTATATCCCACCCATATTATTGGATGTGGTAACCAACGATGTATGATTAGATGGTAGAGATTTTTGTTGGATTTCGAGCGCTTTTTTATAGAATAACAGTACTTTCGAATAATCTTCCATTGCTTGATGTACTCCGCCAATGTTATTGTACGTAGTAGCCAGCGATGGATGATTGGATGGAAGTGATTCTTCTTGAATGTCAAGTGATTTAACATAGTATGTGAGTGCAGAAATATAATCACCCATTTGTTGGTGTATGTCCCCAATGTTGTTATGGACAATAGCTAGCGATGAATGACTCGGTGGAAGAGATTTTTGTTGGACTTCCAATGCTCTCATATGGTATGACAGTGCAGTGGAATTATTGTCCATCGCTCGATGTGTTGCACCGATATTATTGTAAGTTGTTATCGGAGAAGGGTGGTCGAGCGGAAGATATTTTTCTTGAATTGCAAGTGCCTTCTCATAATATGACAGTGCATTTGAATAATCACCCATAGAATAGAGGACCCCACCAATGTTGTTAGAAGTGTCAGCTAACGAGGGATGATCGGATGGAAGAGATGTTTGTTTTATTTCAAATGTCTTTTGATAATATGAGAGTGCTAGTAAGTCATTTCCCATAAGTCGATATACTTCACCGATGTTGTTATAAGCAGCTGCAATACTCAGTTGATTGGGCCATGGACGCCAAGATCAATATTAAGAGCATGCTCGTAGCATTCTAATGCACTTTGAAGCTCATTTTGGCGACATAGAATCGAGCCAACGTTATAGTAGGTCGCGCAAAGTTCAAGATTATCGGATGACAGATAAGTTAATTGGATATTGAGAGCTTTCTTGTTGTGAAAGAGTGCTTTAGAAAGAATGCCTTCCATGGAGCTTATGTATCCTAGCATATGGTGGACGTGGGAAAGTTCTCTCCAATCCTGATCGAGTATTGTCTCTTGAAGCGTCTCGTAGACTTCTTCGGCTTTGTTTAATGCACCCATTTTGATCATCAACTGACCCAATCGATGCAATCCTGCTGATCCTTGTGTCTCTATTCGTAGGCGCTCAGTAAGACGATTCAATTGCTCATCGGTATCTCTTGTTAGTGACATATTGACTTGCCATAATCGGTCTTCCATTTGTACGATCTCATCGATTCGAAATACAGTATGCATTGAGAAGAGAATCTCTTTTTCGAAACCTGGAAATAACTTATATTATCTATTGAGGCGAACAGAGTTGATGAAAGCGTTGGATCAATTTGCATTCTAAAGAGAATTCCTGTTAAAGCCAAATCATTTCGAGTACTTTCTGCAAAGATTCTGGCGACGTCTTCATCAATACTAGTCGACACAAAATTATTGAAGGAAAGAAGACAACCGTTACTTTTGCTCAACTTGTCAAATTCAAAATTCGACTTTCCTTGTCCTCGATAGACGGTTAGTGGATGACGACCATTTGATTCGAAGTGTAATTGCTCGATGTGTCGATGGAGATCTCGAACAAACTATCCCATTTTCATGATAACCTCAGTATCTTGTGTTCTGAGAACTCTATTAAGTACTGAATATATAAATGATTCTTTTGTATACCACCAAATAGGCGAATGAAGATGATATTCTCGTTCAAATTCATCAATACGAAGAAGTTGTTGCTCGTTACCAGAGTTTTGGACACGACAAAAATCGATAAAAGTTTGCTTTGCTTTATCATCATATTTCATATCGAGAAGAATCTCTTTAAGTAACTGTGAGTACATAAATGATTGATTTAGTTCATTCATATCACTGACAGACGATGACACAAGAATACTTATTGGTGTCAAATTTTTTTTCGGTCTCTTGAATGGTTTGCTTAATTTCATCAAAAATAAATTCAATTTGACTAAATATTCCTCTCACTTTTCTCCAATCATTTATCGAGTGTTCATATTTGGATTCTTGAGCGCAAAACGCATAGATCGAGTCGAGTTGAGGGATTTCTTGAACAAGAGGTATAATTTGTTGCCCAAGTATATCAGATACAATTA